TCAGCCCTGTAGATTCCCTCCAGCCCTATGGACTCCCTCCAGCCTCACGAACCCCTCAGCCCTATGGATTTCCTCCAGCCCCACAAACCCTTCAATCCCACAACCCTGTAGATTCCCTCCAGCCCTATGGACTACCCCCAGCCTTATGAACCTTTCAGTCCTATGGATTCTCTCTAGCCCCACAGACCCCTCCCTAGCCCCATGGACCCCTTAGCCCTGTGAACCACCTTCGAGCCTTATGGACTCCCTCTGGTCCCACAGGCCTCTCAGCCCCATGGATCCCTCCAGCCCCGCAGACATTCTAGCCCTATGGACCCCCTTCTAGCCCCATGGATCCCTCAGCCCTATGGATTCTCCCCAGCCCCATGGATCCCTAACCCCTATGGATTCCCTCCAGCTCCATGGACCCCTCAGCCCTGTGGACTTCCTCCAGCCCCACAGCCGCCCCTCACCGTGTAGTTGCGCAGCTCAGCCTTGTCCTTGCTGGCCTGTGGCTCATTAGGGTTGGGGTCCTGGTGGAAGGCTCCAGGTGAGCAGGGCCAGCCCTTAACCCAACCAGTGCCCCCATTCCTCCACCTCCCCGGAGCAGAGTGAGGGTTCAGGAATGTTGTGACCCCAAAAGAAGGGGGGGGCGCCCCCCCCACCTCCGGCTGCACAACACTGAGCAACATTGCACGGTGTTGCATGGTCAGATCCATTGCTTTGGGAGTCAGATCCATGGGCCTGGGCCCCACTTTGAGGTGATGGCACTGAAGCCCTGAGACCCCCCACCCCCTCCACAGAGGGACTCTCCTGCCTCCCCCATGGCTGCTCTTCACCACTCCAAGTTATAGGGTGGGCTTCCTTAGGGGGAGGGTGGCTGCTGTCCTGCCCTCCATGAGCTACTCACCGCCTGCAGGACCTTCATTGCTGTCCAGGGTGGGGGCACACATGCAGCTGCCAGGACCCCCCACCTTTATCCCCAGGCGCAGGGGCAATCAGTCACCAGTTAACCGCCCCCAGTTAATGTTTGAACCCATGGCCAAGGCACCCTGAGGTGCTGCGGTCACTGCATCGGGGAGTCCTGAGCTGCTCCCCACAACCTGGCCTGCCCCACAAATGCAGCCTGGAAGCGAGGAGCCTCCCCCAATCCACCCGTTGCTGAGGAACTTCATCTGTAGGTAGGATCCCTAGAGCTTTAGGAGGTGGTGGGGGGAGCTGAAGTCTGACCGCACTGCTCCTTGCTCGGGGCAAAGGGGCACGGGGTGGCGGGGACAAGTGGGACAAGCACCGAGTGTAGGGCTGCAGATTGGGGTTAGGGGGGGGGTCCCTGGTTCTGCTGCTGCTTTCTCCCTCCCCCCAAGGGCCCAGTGGCTTTTTCCAGCCTGTGGGAGTGGAGATGGGGGTGTTGGTTGGGGCTGGGGGAGGGAGAAAGGGGATGTGGGGATCCTCCGCTTCTCGCACCCCCTCCACATCCTGGGAGTTGGAAACGGTGCAGCCAACAGGGGGAGAACTGGGGGGTGAGACACTGCACCCCGATGGGGGAGAGGGGCTGGGGGCACAGATGGACTTGGGGAGGGGGATGGGCCAGGAGGGCAAACAGACAGGAGGAAGGAAGGACAGACGGGCAGATGGATGGACGGATGGACAGACGCACGGATGGAGAAGTGGATGTGCGGACGGACAGCCAGCCAGGCAGGAGGACGGACAGATGGGCGGGAAGCCAGGCGGACACAAGAATGGCTGGACGGACGGACGGACAGAGCAGCGCGGCCGCCAGGCGGCACCGCAGGATCGCGATCCCCCGGGTCAGCGCGCACGGCTTGGGGGAACGCGGCCGCGCGCATCTGTGCCAAAATCGCAGCATTTGAGCCCAGGGCACCTCGCTGGGGCGGGGACCCAATGGAGACAGGAGGGGTCGGGGCTCCCAGGAGAGTCCTAGGGGTGTCCGTGCAGTTGTGCACCCCAGAGTTGGCACAGGAACGGGGCACACGGAGCTGCAGCCATGGGGCAGTCATGATGGTACCTCCATGGAAGTGCTGCTCGCTTGGACCCATGGTCGATATCCCCCCTGTTGCGCTCCGTCCATCCCATCCCCTCCACGGGTACAACCCTGTGAGGTTTCACCACCCCCCTGCTGCCCCATCCCCTGCAGGGATCCCACGGAAAGGCACACAGGAGCCCACAGCTGCTGGAAGTGCTTTAGTGTCAGCTCCTACCCGACCCACACAGTCCTGGGAAGGGGGAGAAGCAGGGGGGGGAAAAAAAACAAACCCTTTACCCATAGCTGTGGGGGCTGTTGGGGTTCATGGGGGATGAGTCCTGGCGGCCTGGGCGGCCCATCAGCTGCCATAGGCGGTGGCTGAGGTTCTGCACCTGACACGTGCCCAGCACGCAGCTCACCCGCAGTGGCTGAGCGCGGTGCAGCCGAACCCCGACGTGACGCCGGCCCCGCTGCCCCGGGGGGTGTCGGTGTCTGTGCCTTGGGGACGGCTTGGGGCCGTGCCATAGGGCCGGTTGGGGGCGAGGGATGATGAGCTGTTTGAGTCTGAGGTTGGATTGTAGCCCTGGGGGAGGCTCCCCATGGGGCGACGGTGGGTGCCGGTGGGGTAAGCGCAGAATGGCCGGGGGGAGTCTCCGATCTGGGGGTTCCCTGCAAGAGAATGGCATGGGGTCAGTGGGATGGGGTCAGTGGGATGGGGTCAGTGGGATGGGGTCAGTGGGATGGGGTGGGTGCAGAGCATTGTATCCAACACCCCCCATGCATGTGCCCCAGAGCCCCCCCCCCCTACAGACACACACACCTAGCTGCTCTCTGCCCATGACCGTGACTGCATCCCTGGCTCAGCTCTCGCCCTTCTTCCCCCTCCCTCCCCCAAGCACTTGTCCATCCTCTGCCCTGATCCCGCACTGGTTCACTGCCCCTGGGA